TTACCTTTTGAAGATGCTTTTTGCAAAAATAAAAAAAATTTAAATTACTATAAAATTTTCTTAAATTTCTGTAAAGAGACAAATTAGATCACATGACCATTTCATAATAATGTCAAAATTAGCCTTTCATAGATGAAAAAAAGGGAACAAATTAAGTAAAAAAAAAAAAAAAAAAAAAAAATAATAAATATTTTAAAAATAGGATAGAATTGGATTTGTAAATTTTGTCTTCCCCTAATTATTGTATCACATCCAGGAAATAGCCCAATACAGAATTTTACATGATTTCAAACTATTATAAATTATAATTAAAATTATAAAAAAAAAATAAATAAATTTGATAAATTTGTTTTGTTTACTAAATTTCTTAAAATTAAGAAAATGGCCACTTTTAAGAAAATTTTAAGAAATTAAATTTGGCATTCCAATCTATATAATTTCTATCTGAAATACACCAGAATATTTTACTTACTCGAAATAATAAATTTAATCCTTTTAGCGTTCAATTAAAGCTAAAATTAAATCTTCAAGAATGCTTTTTAATTTTTAAAATTTTATTTTAAACTATAGGTATCAAAAATTTATGCTGAAAAAGTGGAGGTACCTAGTAAAAGACATTTGAGCGCTAGGCCTGAAAAAAAACAAAGAGTTTGTTGTAACTTTAACAAATACTAACAAGAAAATTAACACATTGATCCGGAAATTTTTTTATAATAATTAAAATATTGTTTAATCCTTAATAGTTAATAAACTTTAATTAACATTAGCTAAAAAACATTTTTCTATTTTTTTTTTTTTCCCAATCCAAGCACGTGACCTTTTCATAATAATGACATGTTCAGGCTATCATAGATGAAAAAAGGGGACAATTAAATTATTTTAGAATAGTAAAATGACATTTATTAATTTTTTAAATTTTGGATTCGTAAATTTTGTTTTCACTTAATTACAATATCACTCCCAGGAAATAGAGTAATACAAAATTTTAAACTATTATAAATTATTATAATTAAAATTTTTAAAAGATGAAAAAATTCTTGTAAAAATTCATTATTTATCGAAAAAATTTTATTTCTTCAGACAATAGTGTTCTTAATATAACTTATTTACAAAAGCAATTAAAAGATTTTCTCTTTAAATGATGTCATAGTTTCATTACATGTTTTAGTTTACTATTTGGAGCAGATTTTCATTTAGAATAGTAAGTTTGAGAAAAAAAAATTAGATGATTTACATTCTCGAAGGAGTCCTATTTTTAACTAATAAAGAAGTTCTGGAAACAAAGGAATTTCGCGTGGGGGGTAACATGTGTAAAAAAAAAAATTTACAAGATTTCCTAAAACAATAAATTTCAAAAATAAATTCATTCATTTGTGAAGAAGTTCTGGAAGTTTCATTAAAATCCAACAATTATTTAATGACGTAAACCAAACCAGATTTTGAACCAAAATTTTGAATGGGCTAGAAAGGATTAAAAATTTCAAAAATAAAATAATCAAAAAATATTTGGTCATTTACCTTAATAATAACATAAACATTTTGCTGATAAAACTTTGTTTTTTATTAAGTTTGTGGCTTTTTTTCATTATGCTGTTTTCTGCAAAAAAAGTGGAGGTGCATACTTTAACAAGTCACTATTTTCGAATATGAAAAATGAAAATCGGCCCCCAAAATATGCCTATTAATTAGATAGCTCCACAAAAATCATGATACCTAAGGTTTAAAATAGGTACCTCCACATTTTCGCTAAAAAAAAAAGACCATACATAGCCTGATGAAAAAAGACCCAAACTTGATGAAAAGTTATCGTCAAGTAATTCTATCACATTTGAAATTTTGGTTTTATATATCTATATAAAAAATCTTTTTTTTTTTTTTTTTTTTTTTAAAGCGTCAGTGGAGGGCTAAAGATTACTATGGGAAATTTTGTGGTAAAAACACATTATTTTTTAAATTCTTGCTAGAATCAAATAATTGATTTTCAAGATTTTGACAGTTTTTTTATCCTCCACTTAATTTTTCTGGAGTTTCAAGAAATTAAATTTTGATCTGAAACTTTTTTTTAATTTAGTTAAAAGCTGGACTCCTTGGAGAATATAAATAATTTTTTTTTTTTTTTTTTTCTTTTTACCAAAACCGTTACTCATTTAGTGAAAATCTACTCTGAATAAAATAAAGAATGCAATAAAACTATCTATTCAATTAGAAGAAAAGCTTTTAATTGCTTTTATAAATGTCTTAAGAAGACAGAAAAAAAAACTGATGAATAATGAATTTTTACAAGAATTGTTTTCATCTTTAAAAAAATTTAATTATATTAATTTATAAAGTTTTAAATCTTAAAATTCTGTCTTAATTTTAGCCTTTGAAACTATATTTACTAAACATAAATGGAAAAGCTTAATACAGATCATCAGGCACCAAGATTTTAAAACTAATTTTGAATTTTTTTTTTTTTTTTATTAGTTCCGATTTTTGTAAGTACAGTGGACATTGTCAAAAAATAAGAACGATAACAATATTAAATTTAAAGCTGAAATTTCTAAAATTCTATTATGGGGAATATTTTCCTAAATTTTTAAAATTACTGAGTATTTAAAAAAATACGTGAAAAAGGTGTCCACATCATTTTATTAAAAATGTTATAGATAGTCTCCATACAACAACATCTGTCATCACGCCATCAAACACATAAACATGGCTACTGTCAGTTAAAACACAGCTATTGTTTGGTTAAAAATTTAATTTCTGCAATATTTTAAATTTAGAGTAAATAATATTTTTCAAATCAGCTAATATTCATCAAATAAAGTTTTAGAAAAGTATATTTTATTTTAAAAATTTTTTTTAAAACAAATGTGTTTACAAATATCTCAAAAATGGATGACTTTGATGTTATTGAAAAAAAAATTTATTTCCATCAATATAATTTTTGTTTGAAATACACCAGAGTATTTTGCTTACTAGAAATAGTAAATTTAATCCTTCAGCTTTCAATTAAAGCTAAGACCAAAGATTCAAAAGTTTTTTTTTTTATTATTTTTGAAAAATAATTTAAACTTTAGGTATTGCAATTTTTGTAGAGCTACCTACATTAATTTTCTATCACATTCGAAATTTTGGTTAAAAATCTTGTTCTTGCACCAGTGGGTGGGCCAAAGATTAGTATGGGAAAGTTAACGTCTTTTTGCAGTAAAAATACATTGTTCTGGAAAAATATATTGTTTAATAATATAAACCTTTTGACGTTAAAACTTTGTTTTTTTTATCAAGTTGTCTTTTTTGTCATAATTGGTATGCTTTTTTTTTTTTTTTTTTTTTTTTAGAGATACCTAAATTAAAAAAACTTAAATTCCTATCAGGAATCATTTTTATAACTTTAATTATTAAGCTCCAGTTAAGAAAAAGAATTATGATGATGTGAAAATTTTGTGATGTTAGAATTAACATTTTTAACTTGCAAATTCTTAATTTTGTTTTTCAAATGTAATTATGGCTCCATGTAACCCAGTAAAATAATTTTCTTATTTTTATTTAAACATTTTTTATATTTGAAACTTTCAACAGGAGTCATTAATTTTTACTGTATCACTGATTATTTTTAACAAGGCATTTTTTTTTTCCCAATTAACAATTGCATATTCACATCTATTAAGAACTTGTGGAAAATCATATTCTCAATGAAGTATTTATTTTCTTATTACCAATCATTAAATACTTGGTTGTGGCAGGTATATTGCAATTCTGTTAAAAATTTAGTATTTTATTTATTGCTGTTAAATAGCTTAGAGTAATTCTCAGTGAAATCACTGTTGGATCTGAGGATTGTAAGGTAACAAGTAACAGTTAATGTATTTTAGAAGAATGTTGAGAAATAAGAATATTTTGCAATCATACATACTGCATTGGTTATATTAATTTCTTATAAGATTTTTGTAGGGTGGATTTAGCTCATGATGTTTGCCATGCTATATGATTGGATTTTAAAGTTTAATGAATTTTTTTTCACACTTCATATCTATTTGACCAACAGACGCAACTCAAAACAGCAATAGAGTTGAGTTTACTGAATCATAGCAAAATGTGAATAAAAACGAATTTTTTTTTTTTTTTTTTTTTTTCTAAATCTTAATTTGCTTTTAAATTAGCTTATATTTGCATATTCAGAATTTTTTTTAACAATCTCTGAAATTGCTAAAAGGAGGTGCTAAAAGTTCTTGGTCTTTCCAAGAAAGGATTAAAAAGAAAATCTGATGGGGGTTATTTGGTAAGATTTTGGAAAGTGGGGGGAGTGTCAGGCCAAGAACTTTTTCTGCATCACATGTAAATAGTTTGAGTTGTTTATGCTTATTAAAATATAATTTAGCTTTTACTTGTTACTTATCAATACAAAATATGTCTTCAAATTTATATTATTTTTTCTTCAGCAATCAGCATTATTTTGTCAAACATACTGTCAATAATGTAGGCTGTAAAAATCACTTAAATATGAAATTAAACATTTGTTAATTATCAAGATCAAGTCTAAAATATGTGCAGAATGTAGTGTTTGAATTAAACGGCAATTATTTTGCCCTCACAGTATATTTTACTTGTTTAATATTAGTTATAAAAAAATGTGAAATGCGAATCTAACACAAAGATATTTGAAACAAGCTTTAACATGATTCTAAAAAAAGTAATCTCATTTAATTTTTTATTCAAAATTTACTTTAAAGGAATTGTAATTTATAAGTTATAAACTTAGTTAATATAAGTTCTGCTGTAAAGATGATTAGTAACTTTGTTTTGAAATCCACTACTCATGAACTCCATAAAGTGTTCTCTTATGCTTAGGGAACCTCCTAAAATGAAAAAAAAAGTTCAAATTTATTGTATGAATATCAAGAACAATTTTACATAAGATGTATAATTTCAAAAATGTCAAGTCATTGCTTTAGAATTATACCACTAATCTATAAGAATTGGACTTAGTTCTTTCTACTGGTTTTCTTTTTCAGGATGTCAACACGTCTCAGAGTTTTTTGAATCCTTCAACTTCGAGCCCTTCCATAAATTCTTACAATCTGAATACCCAAAACTCTGGGATTGACACCAAACCATTAACAGTAAATCAGGCTGACCTCAAAAAGCAACAGTTAGAATTCCTTGAGGCACAGATGCTTCAAGCTGATGTTGAAGCAAAGAAACGGCAAGCAGAAGTCCAGAAAAGGCAAGCAGAACTTGCAGAAGCAAAGAAACTGGCTGAGAAGTTAGCTGAAGAAGAAAGGTTTACCCTACTTTCCTTTTAACATAAGTTTTATAAATATTTCTTTGTTTCTAAAAATATTTTAAGATATAGAAAACAAAATCCAGGCATTCCATTGGGAATGCATTCAATATTCACCCTTCAGCATATATTCATTTTAAAACAATAAAATTTTTCCAATTTTTGTTTTCTTTATGCTATATAGCCTAAGATGGAAAGACCTTAGAGATAAAATACTATAGCAGCCATTTTAAACATTTGTTTTATAACATTGCCAGAACAGAAGTTTACAATGTGCATACAACTTTACATTGTTTCTTTTAAATAACCTGTATATTTCAACAAGAACCGTCATTTAATTTTTAAATTCTTTGTTAACAAGTGCTATTTTATAAATCAGTTTTCCAATAACGATGAAAACATGATTTATCAAATTGTGTGAGAAGTTTGTTAGCCAGTAACTTTCATAATTCAGTTTAAACAGCTGATATGTGATAATAATTATTGATTTGTTGATTTAAAAAATATTTTGTGGCCATAATGTTCATTTCAAACTCACCAAGAGTTTCTGTTATTTTTCTATGTTCCTGATATTTTATTTTTCCCTACAGACTGCGAAAAGAATCTGAGAATAAAATTTACAAGTACATGGTGTTGAACCACGAAAAGAAAATTTTGGAAACATTACGAGCACTGTGGAAAGGAAACCAGTTCTGTGATGCTACGCTACAAAATGAATGTATATCCATTCCTGTAAGTGTAAGAATCTTATTTTAAATTAGAAAATGATTTGACATCATTCCAAATCATCTCTGAAAACTGTCAGCATAAACTATAAAATTTATTGCAAAACTGGTTGGATATCTTAACAAATAATTTGTATCATACAGTGGTAGAATTTTTTTTCTTTAATATAAACCTAGACATTTTTGTATTGAGTATTTATAATTTCTGAGTTTTGTTTTTTTATGGGGTTTAATGTATTTGCTAAATATGGTCTAGTGATTTCCAATTTTAAAATATCAGGTTCTTATCTATAGCAGTGTATTTGCAAGACAGTAAATTTCACATTTCTTGCCTTTAACAATTTTAGACTAGTTGCCTAGGTAAGCCCGATACATAATATTGTCTTTTATTTGTTTGTATTTGATGTATAATTTGGGAAAATTTTCCTTTTTTTTTAAAAAATTTTTTTCATTTATTTTTTTTTTTTTTTTTAAGATAACAGTGGGTGAATGTGTATAATTTATAATCAATGATAGTATTGCATATTGTTACAATTTCTGTGCATGGTTACTTGATAAATGGATTTGTAATTTGGAGATCTCTAGTTCCATAAAAAATGTTGGATTATTCTAATTTTAAAATTGCACGATAGTGATTAACTAGTTTGATATTTAGATGGTGTATATTATAGAATTTTAAAATATTTGGTTAACTACAAAACTGGAAATTTTCCCCAGTTATAATACATTTTTGAATAAATAACGTACATTTATTTTCATAAAGTAGCGACTTGCAAGTCACTACTTTATGAAACAAGGGAAATAACTCAACAATAATGTTTTAAAAAATTTTAGAATTTATGTTGCATCTGAACTGTAAAATTTATTTCTTTTTTATTATAATATTTAATGAGTACTGCATCTCAGCATAAATTACTGTACCTTGAATGCTTGTAACTTTTAAAGTTTAAATACTAGTTTTATTGTAAAATATCTAAATCTATTAAAGTAGAAAACGTTTTATGACTTTCCGAGATTTTACTGTTGTGGTTACAAAATTTTGTTTATGTATTATGAATTCTTGCTTGAAGTTATTTGATAATTCTCTTGAATTATTAAGAGAAATGTTGTAAGAATTAAAATGCAGTGTAAGGGGAGGTATAGTTTAGAGAGTAATTCATAAAATATTTTCAATTCTTTTTAAATATTTAGAAATAGTATATGATAACTGTATTCAAGATAGATGTATGCATCTATATATATATATATATATATATATATATATATATATAAATATATATATATATATATTCCAAAGATTAGTTAAAAAATGATGAATAAATACCTCAATGCTTAATAAAAACGTTTTGTCAAAATTGTTTTATTAAAAGGAAAGAGCATTGGGTTTTTATTATTATTAAATTATATTTTATCCTTTTTAGAATATTCAAAATTTTTATTAAAAATTTTGGTTTTCTTCTTTTAACATCTACTTTATTTAATTTTATGGAATTTTGAGAAATTCATTTTTGCCTGGATTAATGTTTATATTAGTTATAAATAGAACTCTTTGAAGAATTTACATCATCAATGTGTTTTTATTTTTTATTTTTTTTGTTACCAAAAATCTGTTCTGAATATTAAAAATGCAACAAAACTAAGACATTATTTAAACCTTTTAATTGCTTTTGTTGATAAAATATATTTTGGACACTATTATCTTAAAAACATTTTTTGATGAATAATGAATTGTTACAAGAATTAGTTTTATTTTGTAAAAGTTTTAATTAGAAAAATTCATAAAGTTTTAATTCTTTTGAAATTCTGTATTAATTGGTATGAAGTGGGTAATAATTGTTATTAAATAATAAAAACTATATTTACTAATTGTAATTAGTAAATGAATAAGTTTACAATTCAATGACCCCCACCCGGTATTTTAAAAAGAATTTAGAATTTTTTGTGTGTATAGATGTGCCGATTTTTGTACATACAAATGTCAATACATGACATTATGGTAAATTCAATAAGACATTAGATTTTGGAGAATATTTTTCCTAAATTTTTAATATTACTGGGTAGTTAAAAATTATATAATAAAAAAGGCATTATATTTGTCAAGTAATTTTTACAGATATGTCCCCTGTAGAAAAAAACTAGCTAAATTTTAAGTAATCAATAAGGGTGTCAGGCTATTAATAAAACTCTCAACATTTCATATATCTCTGTGTTAAAAAATGCATTTCAGAGTTATTATAAACTAAAAGTAATGTTTCCAATCAGATTAATTAAACTTTAAATCAGTTGAAGTTTTCAGAAAAGTACATATTAAGTTTTAATAAAGAGAATTACATTGTGCTTACAAATGGCTTTCTCCTTTCAATCAATTTAAATTAATTTTAAAATACACCAATTGCTGATTGGAAATATTAAATCTAGTCTATTAGATTGAACTTTAAAACTAAAATAAAAGCTTCAAGAAACAGCTTTTATTTTAAACCTTATCGCTTTTCTTTGGTAGAGAATATACACACACACACACACACACACACACACACAAATTAAAATACTGTCTTATCAATTTATTTTTCTTATATTTCAGGTTCACAAAATCCTTTTGATAGCTTGCTGTCCCAAAATACTTGAAACGTATGATTACATCATGAAAGACACAAATGTACAAGTGTGCTTCCCTCGCAAGGTTACTGCTGAAGCTTTGAAAGCCTTTGTTGATTATCTTTATAATGGTTCATTAAACCTGAGCAAATCAATTTTAGACAGCATGGAATATTTATCAGGCATGTTAGGTCTTGATGACATTCGGCAACTATGCAACCAATTCCGTTCAGACATGCTTAATGATTCCATTTGTTTACCTGATAAAACCATTGTTAATGTGACCAATTCCCATGATCAATCAAGTCACCAGATGTCTTATAATGACCCCATTCTTCCACCACCACCCATTGTCCGACCGTCAACACACAGTACAGCTACACCTACTGCAGTGTCTATACAGTTATCATCAAACTTTCAGGATGTGTCTGTTTCTTCTGCTCAGTCAAATGACTTCAGTCTATTTCCTGAGCCTCATTCAAACTCTGTTCTCACTGAAGTGAGCCACATCAAGCTGGAGCCAGAAGTGGACTTAACTGCTGAAGACTGTACAGAAATAAAACAGGAATCTATACAAAGTGAGCTATATGGAGCAGATACAAACTGCAAATTCACAGAGTGGTCAACAGCAACACTTGAACCTCATTCATCATCACAAACTTTTATACAGCGGAAAAAGTCTGACCTAAATAATTTTGAACTCTCAACAACAGTAGATCTCAGCTTGGCCCCATTGAACTCCTTCCAGAAGCAGACTGCCAAAAATATTTCAAGTGGTGTATCACCTAGTGTGATAACAATCTCTCCTTCCAATTCCCCGTGCCAGTCACCTAGATTAACAGAATCTCCCTCACATATACAGACTTTACAAATCAGCAATACTCACACCATACCAACTAGCAATACAAATCCTTTCCCTGTTAGTTTGATCTCAGCAAATGGGCAGAGCATATCATTAACTGACCAAGATAACAAAAGAAAACATTTTGGAGATTATGACTCTAAAGACGATAGAAAACGACCAAAAATTATCTTAAATTGATGACATATTTCTAAATAAATGAAAATTTTATCTTCTATTCATTTGTTTTATTTCAAATATTTTTGTTATATGTGTGTGTATAAGAGCATTTGTTGATAGCCTTTAACATTACCAAATACTATGAACATAGATCAAGATGGTATTGAAGCAAATAAATGGATATAAATCTGGCTGAATTATTTGGATAATAGGAAAATAATTTTTAGCCTAATTTAAAGGAAGAAAATTGTGTATACCATCTCGACACAAATGCATGGAATTGACTTGTGTTATTAGTCACATTAAGGTTTTGTAGGATTTGTTATTACTCACTGAAGTGTTAACCAATTCATGATAATAAATCTTAAGAAAAATGAAAATTCTTTAATTATTTTCTATTGAATAAAAAGTACTTGTATATATTTTTCATTTTTAAGATTTTTATACCATCAGACTAATTTTCCTTTTAATCACATTTCATTGATTCATAATTTGTGAAATTTAGTTTTACATATGTTTTACTAGTTTGATTACACATGTATTTAATATAACCAAATACTTAAACATATAGGATCATTAATTTTATATATATATATATATATATATATCGATGAAAATTATAAATGACATATTACGGTTAGCTTTTATGAAATCCATTGGGTGTACTGTGCAGTTAGGATCAAGATATTTAAATTTTATGTGGATAAAAGATGAGAATGTTATTATAAGGGAGGTAACTCAAAAATACCCAAAAGATTTTTTTTGTAAAACAAGCAAGTAGGCACGTGTTATGAAGCCGGTAAAATATTCAGTTATCACTGACAATCATATAATAGTAGCCGGAGAAAATAACATGTTGATTTTCTGCACTACTTTAAATAAAAGGTTTGAGGAGGCTCCCATCTGTACTAGAAAGTGATAAATTTGTGAACTTAAAAAGTCTAGTTTTCTGAAAAAATGATTTCATAAATTTCTAGTTATAGTTCAACCAAGGGGTGCCGAAAGTTTTCTGTATGGAAGTGGGGAAGTTTCTAGGATATTAGCACATGATTAAATGTAATAAACTCAACTGGAATTTGAACTCTGCTCTGATTTTTTTCATTCTGAGCTGCAATCCATTACACCACCATGCATCTATATAATTTCATCATTACTTGTAGTAAACAGGTATGCATAAGTGATTTTTAGTACTGTTCGTCTGAAATTATCCAACTTACATAAACCTTTATGACTTGAATTTGCTTTGAAAAATGTTAAATTTTATGTCAAAACAAAGCTTGAGTTTAGGTAGTTTCAACATGTTTTATTAAAGTTATTGGATTTATTATAAAAACTGCAGTCTGAAGTTATACAAAACCAGAAAATGACTTTATACTTCAATAACAAGGTAATAAAATCATTAAGAACTGATCAACACCTATAATAGAACAAATAACAAAAATTTGACTCATGACTTGTCCATGAAACTGCGATAGTTAGCACTGTTCAGTTTAACTACTTCAATTTTGAATGGTTTAATAATGGTTTGGGTGACAATCCCAGCCCATATCACAGTGCCATCTTTTTGCTACCTTCATTTAGCCACAGGCACATCCATCAGTTTCATCGAGTGTCACTTGAGATTTGTCCAAGAAAATTTATAAAAGTTAATTTTTGTGTAATTTTAAAAGTGTCAAAATTGGGCCAAAGATGGCCCAATTTTGACACTTTAAAATGTTTACTGAGGGGTGTTTACCTAGGAGACTTTGACAGATCCCAATTTAAAAAGTATTGTATACCTTTTGTCCTTGACTCCCTCAATGCCTGTTCAAAGATCTGAGCACTGGTTGTTTCACTATAACTCTCTTTAGTTTACGTTCCCCTCGAGAGGAAAAGCTTTTAAAGCCTAGTTCTTAACATATATTTTCAACAGCCCTGTTCATCATTTGTTGATCACTGCAAATCTACTTTGATATTTCAAGTGTGAGCATTCCTTCATTCAATAACTTTTTCTGTTTTTCTGCATTTGTTAGATCCTTTGCATTACCCATGTTTCAACATATATAGAAAAAAGAAAAATGTTTTCATTAGATTTCAAAGGCCTTAAATTTGGTCAGTTCATTTACATACATTCTAATTATCTAATATCTTAAAATATAAACATTAAAATTTTAGTTTATTTTACCAAAGGTGGAAATGGGCTAGTTTCAATTTGACAAATATTTGTTCTGGACTTTTTGTGTTATTGAAGCTTGTGATTTACATAAATTCAAATGGGATGTATTTTATTAAGTGAAATTGCATACAATATGATTTATACAAATACTATGAATTCCTCTAGTGTAATGGTTAACAAGTCAGCCTAGTTGACTATTACTTCAGAAGTTTTGAGATATGTGATTATACAATATTTAAAAATTTTGGTTTACATAGTAAAAGCTATTCATTAAAAGCAGTGACATAGTGTATATTTATTTTGTCCATTTAGTGTCAGTGTATAAATCTGTTTTGTATGAAAAAAGAAATGATAGTTACTGGAAAGATAAAGATGCATTTCACTTTTATTCATTGAAAAAACAAAAGATTTGGAATCCAATTGAATTTTTTAAACTCTTATTCTCAGATTATTTTAAAATTAAAATGTTAGAATTTTATTTTGGGCATAAAATAGGTGTAATGGGTACTTTGTTGTGGATTTTTTTTATATGCCACCTCACTTTATGACATAATGTGACCGTGACTCTGCAAATTCTATTTCTTTATCTGTGAGTTGCATTCTTGGGAAAGTGATTTCCCTTTGCTTCCTCCAGTCTGATAGCTTTTCACCCTGGTATCCATTACACTACCTGCATATCTAGAATTGTTAAAAAAGTAATATTGTAGATCATTATTCTTATGAGTGTATTCATTACTAAGTGTCCTATATGTAAGGTCTTGTGTCAGAGTAAGATAAGCTTAGTAATATCACTTTATCTGTAGACATGGTAGATATATATTTTAGGGTCAATTTCATTGTGACCTATTTTAAACTGGAATCAGTGATTGCTGTTTGAGCTCAGGTCCAAGATTTGAAATACTAATCTTTTTTTCTTCAGCCTTGTGTACTGTCTCTACTTACTGGTGCAACACAATCTTCTCTATCCTATATATATATATATATATATAATGCATTTTTAAAATTTAGTTAGCAAAGTGAATTCATCATTTACTAACATTACCTGGTAGATGTTTATCTGAATGAATCTCATTTTTTAGTGTAGCTTCATGAACATGATTTACTATTTGAAAAATATAAATTTTTAACTAAGTCTTAATGAGAATTTTATTTATGAATAAAATTTAAAGATAATTTCAAAGTTATTAGTGCTGCTTATTGATTTGCTTTAGGAAAATCAAATAATTTTTGAAAAATATATTTGATAATATGATCTCATGCTTTTGTTTCATATTGAAATAAGGCATTCCAGAAATTAATATCGAGATTTTTGTCAAAAAGATTTCTGCAAGTTTTCAGTTTAGTGACACCAATTATTATAAATTGGAAAAACATCCACTTTACTGTAAAATGTTTAAATTAACATAATCTATTTCTTCCAAAAGATTTTCATATTCTTGAAAATAAAATGTATTAAATATTTCTTCTTCTGTAGGACAATAAGTCACATTTTAATATCTTTAGGGATACTAGTTTTAAGGTCTGGTGAGTTATCAAATGTTTGGCATGACATTTCATACAGCAAATATCCACATTTTGAGTAATTATGAACTGGATCAAAGTTGTATTCTTTAACATCAACATTTAAATGAGGTAATTGTTTTTATTTTTTTTTTGTTTTTTTTTTCAGTATGAAATTTTTCAATAACATTTTGTAGTTATAAAATATGCACTAATTAATATTTTTTCTTTGAATACATATCTATATTAATATGTTCTGAAAAATAATTATTTCTGGTCACAGTGCCTGTTGTATAACTCCATCGAAAAAAAAAAGTTACATATTTTGTTTACAAAGATTAGTAAAATTAAAATTCAACATGCTTATAAAAAAAAAATGTTAGAAAGAACAAAAATTATTCATAAAAATACATTTGATTCATTGTTATACAGAAAAATATTAACTTTGTGACAATTCGTAATGACATTTTGAGTTTCATAGTTTAAAATAGTTAAACTATACAAAAATGTATTGTTTTCTTTGTTAACATTTTTGCAATATATTTTAACAAACAGTTACAAAATATTAAATTTACTGAATTTCATTATGACATTAACTTTGTAAAAAAAAAAAAAATACTTAATAAATAACTCTTTTCATTAATTTAACTGTGTGATTAAAATCTACATACATTTTGAAAATGACTGTTAGAAAAAAACCTTTTATAATCAATATGTTCATTGTTATGAAGAACAAATATAGAGAAAAAAATTAACTTTGTGATATAATTCTTAATGTAATTTTTTTTGTCAGTTTCACATCAAAAAGTTTTCTAACAAAGTTAAAATACTGTAAGTGGAAATAAAATAAATGAACCTTATATTTAGTGTCTTAAATAATAAAATTCAGTCAATCCAAGGGTAAAAAAGGATTTCTTTTTAAAAAGACTAAATTGCAGTTTAGGTGTCTACATGTCTGCCCCAAGTCATAGATCCCAGTTGCATGGCTGCTAGCCCTTTTATAGGTATTGCTTTGAGATATATAAGACAAAAGGAAAACTTTACCAATGTGTTTCTTCCTCTGATGGACTTTACCAAGGCAAATTTAAGGATTTTATTTTGCAATATGCATTTATAAACAAGTAAAAAAAAAAAAAAAAAAAAGTTAGGTTTTTCAAA